ATGATCAATGCTTAAATAAAACTTTGTAGTGTTATAATATTAATGATAATTGCTATTATGAAAGTGACAAATATTATAATATTTTATTTATTAAATATTTAATATTGTGGCAATAGATGTGCAATTGGTTCATATAATACTTTATATTTATGCAATGGAATTTGAACCGTTTATTAAAATAAAAAATGATATACAGTACATCAATAATAACATACGTACATAATAATCGACCAAATATTATTGATATATATAATAAACTCAAAGGTAATTAAAAAAGATAAAGATGAGAAATGTCAAAGAAAAAGTTTCATTACTTCCTCATCTAAAGAGCCATATAAAGAAGTAATTTAATAGAAACGTCTGTTTATATGACTATGTCAGCTAAACCGTCTCTTGCAAAATAAGATTAATTCCTTTCTTTCTGATGTTCTGAACCAAATCTAATTCCTCGTCTGTATATACCAAAAATTCTAACACAATAGCTTTCAATGAATTGCACATAATACAATCCTCAATTGCTTTAAGATAATCATAAGTATGATCCTCAATGTCCTTGATATACAAAGCCTCCAATGTATTTAATGATAGAATACTATAGTCTAGTAAAAATTTTCTGAGATATTCCGGTATAAAATTGCAACAAAGAAATATTTTTTCTAAGCTAGAAGGAACATATTTGCCCAGAACATTTAATAATTCGTCTGAACTGATGTGAGATTTAATGACTAATTGGCTTATCTTGGACCCTTTTAGATAATACAAAAACATTTTGTAGTCATTCTCGTAAAATAACGTAAATTTAGATATGTTTGGACAAAATTGAGATAAGGTCATCATTATTTTCTCGGATACCTCATCAGTGCACATGTTTAACAAGCTTTTTCCAGCTTTTTCGATGAGTGCGGCTAAAAATGTATTATCCCCGATGGTATTTTTGCTAAAAGTCAAGCTCTTGAGTTGAATTGGTGATCGTAAAAATATTTCAGAGCTGCCCTTCGTAGTCCAATAACAATCACATATTTCCATGGTTTCTAGCTTTGTATACTCCGCAATTCTATTCATATCAATACTTGA